CCCCCCCCCCCCAGAATTTTTGTCACCGCTTCCGTTCCTTCTTTGGAAACGGCACGCTATGGCGCCTTAAATATGCCCTCGCAATTTTCTTGATAATTTTGTGTTAATTTCTTTTTTTTACACACGTCATGCAAAATCTGCATTTTTACGGGAATTAGCTTCTGCACCTTTAAATTCAGTTTACTCGATAAATTAACTCAAATAATAAACATATTGATTTAATATTGGAAAAATATGGAAAAATATTGATCAACACAATATTTTTCCCGACCTCATGACAAGGTTGTGGCTGGGCCGTAACCGCACTTCCACGCACTACTACATAAAACGTCACGCGGTAGTACATGTATACCGTGGCTGTATCAACTCAAGTGAAGGCGCGTCTTTGCGCGGTCTAGATTATGTACTATGGTAGGGCGGCATGGCAAGGGGTGGTGGGGTGGTAGAAAAAAATCAAAACAAAACCTGAAAACCTCCTAACCTGATTGTTTCTACTTTCTGGTTGGCTTTTGCTGCGTCCGTGCAATTGTTGGCGATCATGCGTCAAATTTAAATATTTCGAAATTACTCAATTAATTCCGTTTCTGTTTACTTGAGAGGTAACGTCAGTTAACTTTTTGTTTCTTGTCATTTACCACTGAAGGCATGATAAGTGTTCCAGCTTCTCATATTCATTTGTTGCATGCAATGGGCAAGGCCGTTGCCTTGGCTGTAGGCAATTGTTTTCTTGAGAAAATATCCGTTGTCTCTATCAAGGAAATTGTCTACACTTGATTATTATGATCTGCCATAATCATCAGATATTCTAGATGCAAAACTCCTACTGCCATGTCATGGATCAGAGTAGTAGACAACAATCAAAGTTTCGAAATCAAGTTTGATTCTAAATTTTCTCATTAATGCAGATCAAACAAACCAACTGATTCACCAAAACTGAAGAATTTTCTCATTTACACTGCAGTGAACGCTTTGCCAAAGCACGTAAGTGCTCAAAAATTGGCATTGTTACAGGAGGCATCATACAACAGTCTTAGTAAGTGCACATTCAGCAAGAGGGCGACTGGGTCAAGGAAAATAATAGAGCTCGCGCATTGTATGTTGAGAAAAATGTCAAAGTATTGTTTGTCACCATTCACCAGTGGTGCCACCTGACTACATGTATTAACCTGTTAAGTGGTGTGAATTGAGATTTAATCGGAGATTGACGTTTGTCTCAACATACGATACAAGAGCTCTACTTATCTCAATGGCCTTCAGTAGAGAGAAACTGAATCCAATGTGGCGTTTTCAAAATCAAGCAAGTTTTTCAGTACTATGAAGAAATTGAATGCGTGTGTAGCAATGAATGATATGGGGTTTGTCATGCTAAAACTATTAATTTTTTTGCGGAGAAATTATAATTATTCTAACTTTTGGCTTGTGTTCTTGATGAAGGGGAAGTCAATTAAGTTTGCAAACGCTGCAGTAGATTTGATTCCTCTCTGCAAAATTCTGCCCTTTTACCTTGTTTTGTCAATTTCTAAACTCAAATTTGACGTGTCGTGCTCGTGTGTCCGAAACATCAACATACATTTGATGGCTCAAGTGCGAAACCATGTATCTCTATTTGTGACCAGTGTTCGAAACTCACATGAGAGTTTTAGGAGCCTTCTGGCCCATTAAGCTGGATTTTTAGGGGCCAAATTGACTTTTTGCCTATGTATCACAGCGCATTTAATGAAAAGTTAGAATCCGGTGGCGTGCGTTGAAATTTCAAAAAATCACTAAATAGAAAAATTAGGATTCTTTTTGAGGAGGTGGGACAATATTTTGGGGGGCGTTGGTGCCGAGCCTTCATTTTTCAGACGCCATAACCGATTTTCAAGGCGCATTTGGCGCGTCGGCACCTGTGAGTTTCGAAAACTGTTTGTGATGTTGCATATTTCCTATCACACTTTATTTCTTCCTTGGAGAACTACTTAATGTAATCTCTTGAGAACTTCTTTGATTTACCTTCTCTGTGGGCAGAACATTCCATTTATATTATTAGCTCTAAAGGCTTGTTTCTCATGGGAAAAATAAAATAGTAGAAGATTTTTTTATATACTGCATCGGAGTTACATGGCTTCACACTTTAGCCATTAATGTAGAATATGTAAGGAAATGTGTTTATTCATTTTGATTGTTGTATCGTACCAAATAACAATTTTTTTCTGTTCTAGATCTGGATGCAATGTGGATTTGTTAGTTTGGGATGATCCCATGTTCAAAATGAGCCAAGAAGTTGCCCAGGTATTTCAGTAATATTCTCTAACTATCAATGTACTTTCAAAATTAATCTATAATTAGATCTTTTTGATTTTCCTGTCTCATCAAGGACAAGAGTAAGTTTTTTACTTCATGGAGCAAGATCAATGTACATATGTGGTGCGGTCTAAAGATGTATGGTTGACCCATCTTTCTACCCAATATTTTACAATTTTAAGACTGTCAAATGGGAAATTATGGAAAGTTAGCATCTCACTGCACACTGGGAACTCCCTAAAATGTTGTATATGCTCCAGAGAAAGAATTATGAATGTGTTAAATTTTTGCTCTTCTTTACACTGAGGATTGTCTAAGATAATCTGAATGCGCCTCTAAGCCCTACAGTCCCATCCTCAGTCTTTCTCGTGGCTTGTGGCCTTGCAGTCTTTTCATTTTTGTGTGCTGTGTTTTGGACAAGTGTTGCCGTGTTTCTATGAATTGAGTATGTGTATTCTAAAGGGAAGTCAGTATGTGCAAATGAATCAGATCAAACGTTCATTTGTAGCTGTGATGTAGAAAAGTACATTTCTCCGCTTGCCACCACCTTCTGTATTTTCTCTATGCAGCAGTGCATGGATAGGATGGCAAAATAAACAGTTGCTGCAAAGGCTGAGGACGCTGCCAAGACTTGTTGCAATAATGTATAAGAATCATTTATGTAAGTGAGTGCAAAAAGTCCTGTGTATTGTATTCTTTCATATGAATAAACGAATTAAAAAAAAAAAAAAAAAACAGTGAGGGCGAAGATTCATCTGATTTTTAATACAAAAAATGATTTATATTAACCAACCTCAACCCTGATCCTACTGATGTTTCCAGACAAACAGAAGTGTTTTGGCACAATGCCTAATTTAAAGCAAAAGATCACTGTAAGTGGCATTCAAAATCCATGATCATGCTTTAACTTATGCAATCAGAGGTATATCCAGTGTGTTACCAAAAAGTGCAAGCGCAGAGAACATCATAATCTTCTGATAAAGGATCATCTGAATTCGTTTGATGTTTGACGTCTCATTTTTAACTTTGAGTCAAATAATGCCTTACATGTATGACTCTGATTTTCAAAGGTTTTACCGCTGTCAACTCATTATTTATATTTCTTTTTGGTTTGTTTTTATGTTTCAGAACATTGCCACATCATCAGCATTCAATGTGTCAAACATTTTTGATGATGTTGCGTTGGTCAGAGCTCAGCTGGATTGTCTGGGGCTATCCTACGATCCTGACGAAATTGCAAACATGTTGATAGAGCAAGATGGTAGTGCTGATAGAGTAGCTATTGTCGTTAATAAGATCATTGACTGCCTTCCAAATTTGGGACCAGAGTTTGAAAATAACTCTACCCATGAAGGAGCTGAATCAAGTTTAAACCAAGTTCAAGCTCCAGATAAAAGTGAAGAAAAACAAAAAAGTGAAGAAAATGTACCCGCGTCGGCAGTAAAAGATACTGCCAGCCAAGATTATGAACCGTCACCTAGTAAACTTTTTAAGCCAGTCAATCCCAAAAAAAATCCGTTTTCGTATGATCTCCCTTCAGGAGGAAGTTCAGTTAGGCTGAAAAACTCCGCTGATCTTTGCGGTACATCCTCCAGCTCAAGTACCTCCGAGGAATATTTGAGTGCTCAAAGATTGCTGCCCAATGAATCAGCAGATGTGAGTAAATTTACCTATCTTGGTAAGACTACTGAGAGAACCTTGACACTAGACTCCACCTCCGGTCCATCAGACTTAAGTGTTACAAATCAAGAAGACGAAAAGCCTGGTTATCAGGGTGCAGAAATCACCTCTCAGATTTTTGAGTCTGTCAGTAATAGCCTTAAAACGCCATTAAGTATATCAGTATCATCAGTATCAAGAGCAAATCATCGAGACTCTACACCTGAACAACTCTCGATAATTTTAGAGTGTATGAATCGAGTTGAAATAACAGATAACGATTTGAATATAATAGATAATTTGATTGGTTTTCTCATGCGGGGAGAATCTAATAGCACTGCAGTCAATTGTAAACCCTCCTGTGGAGCTGATGTAAATAAAAGAGCATTAAGTGATAACACCAAGACAATTACATTGCCGGATTCTGATTCGGCAAGCAATATTGGGACCACAGTCACTGAACCCACCGCATGTCCTTCCCAAAACTTACCTGAGCCTTTGTGCCAATACTTCGCAAATCTCATGGAAATTTTTCCAGATGCTGATTCAACTTACTTGCAAGATTTATGCAAAGGAAGCAACAACGGGGAGATCATTCCATTTGAAAATGACATAATGCAACAACTCATCGATATCGTATTGGATAATCCTGACTATCCACGAAAAGCACCAACAAATAGTGGAGAATCAGAAGTAAATCCATCCTTTGATGAGAAGTATCGCAACATCATTGCTATTCTCCCAGATATAGATCCTGAATTTGCAAAGAGCAAATGTGAACAGTTGTCGAATGAAAGTTACAATAATTTTGTTAATGAGCTTTTAATCACTGAAGCATACCCAACCATAAAAGATGCAAGAATGAAAGAAACCTCCTCTAAAATAAAGGCTTATTTAGATAATCCTACGATACCTGATTTCTTAAAATTGTTTCCAAACCCTGAAGAATACTTTTTGAATCAAAAGATGAGCTCACATCCTGAGCATTCGTTAGCATTCTTAAAATATCGGTAAGTATTTTTTCATGAATTCATTCTTTTCATTTCACAGATGGCATTTATTTGTTGAAACATGATAGGTAGTTGCATGAAATGAAGATAAAGATTATTTTTGTTCAAAATAGATTGAGATAGTTGCAGGGTCATTTGCTTAGCATTATTTTAGTGTCATAATGCCGAACAAAGCTGAGGACTCAGAGACTTAGTGTGAAGAAAGGTTTAATTTATTTTTTTGGGACATGTCCTTATGTCTGGCTTTACCCTGTAGTGATGGATTTTTTTTTTTGTTAATATTTTGACAGGAAAAAATCTGTAATTATATTTTAATTCAATCAAAAGCCGGTGAGCACCACTAAAATGAAACAAAATATGTACAGTGAAACTGAAAACTGAGTATTTGAGTTTGCCAACTTAGAAATGTCTGGTTACATTTTATTTAAGCCAATGAAAGGAACTGACCAATTATAATCTTCAAAAATTTTTCTAAAGTTGTTTTTTTTCTGTATCCAAAGCATGCTTCTCAAATTCTTGTGAAAATGTTATTGTTCTTTTAAAAAGTCTGTGCTGGAGCAAAAATTTTGAGGTACAACCAGTAAAACAGATATATTTTTTCCTATCAGCTGAAATCTGCCGTCATGTTAGAATATATGGACGGATCAATGCTAAATTTTTAACGGGTCAGTTGCGCTTGTCTTAGAACTGTATTTTCATGCTTGGTTCTTGTAGATCAGCTAAAAATAATAAGATTTGTCCAAATAGCAACTTTTTACGTTCAATATTAACAGAGTTATCATGCTTTGAAAAATTGGGTCTATAACGTCATCCACTACGGAAGTGACACCCTTGGTCTCTTCCATCCTGCTTTCATCTGAGTTTCTCGTTGAGTAACCAGTGCAAATTTATATCTATCTGATTGATGAATCTGAGGTGAAAGAAACCAATGGCGTCACTTCTGCGGTGGATGATGTCATAAACTGAATTCTTCAAAGGGAGATATCTCTGTCAATATTGAATGTAGAAAGTTGCTGTTTAGTCAGATCTTCATATTTTCAGCTAATTTTCAAGAATCAAGCAGCAAAACACAATTCTGAGACTAGCACAACTGACTCATTGAAGAAGAAGATATTTCTGTGTAGTGTAATAATTTACTCTCTCATTTCATTGTATGTTTTCAGTTATAATTTACTCAAATCAGATGATATTATCAGAACTTATCGATTTGAGGGGTTCAATCTCACTCGAACGTGTCGTAAATTAGATAGGCATACTGGTCCAGTTTGTAAGAGAAGGAGAACTTTACCGGATTGTAAGTGGCCTGCGAAGAACGATGTAAATTTCCTTCAGGAAGTAAGTAAAAACTTGCTTTTGTTTTTAAACTGTTCTGATGTTTCGTAAATCTATAACTCACTGAAATACTCTAATTTTTTCACCATCAAAAAAAGTGTTTTCTTTTCATACACCAAGGTGTAAAAGGAAGTTTAAACCCTCTGCATGTTGACTGGATTATTGTAGCATTTTATGTTATTACCTCTGGATGTATAATTTGTCCATAAGAATAGTCTGTACATGTTATATTCTTTTTAATCAGACATTTTGGTGACCATTTTGAGAAGTTTTGTCAAAACTTTTAACCAGAAGATAAACTGTTTTTTATTATTGACTATAGATGTTTATACATAATTTTTTTTAACATTTTAGCTAAGATTATCAAAATTAATGACAACATTCCCTCTCTAGCAGAGAAGCTCTTACCCAAAAATTTTCCAAAATTTCCTCCACAAAACCTGATGATATTCAAATTACAGCAATGGCTAACTTAAACCCATGAGGAATCAATTAATACTTTTCTATTAAGCTAATATGTGTTTTGAGCAAACAAACAATATTATCTTTCTGCTTTCCACAGAACATGCATTTTCTAATTTCCTCAAATCTCATTTCATCCCCTACAGATTTTCTACATCATTCATTGGCAAGAAATAAAGCAGTACATAGAGGATAAGAACAGAGAACAAAAATTGGCTCTAGAACAGGTAAGCTATAACCAGTACTATAATCTATAATAATTTCATTTCATTTAAATTTCAATCACACTTTGTGTGATTAAAGTAGTGTTTCTTGCAGAGAAAAAAATTATCCGCATAGGTGAACAGAATGTAGTAAATGAAAACGTTCATAACTAGGTATTAAAGGGTGTCAGTCACAACTCATTCGATTCACTTGTATCGGAAGGAGATAATTTGTGCCCAAGTGGGAGACAAGAAAAGAGGAAGTAGAGCTAAGTTCGTGCGGTCCGAAATGTTGTGGTTCTCTCGCCAGTTGCTCAGTGACTAGCGGCGATCCTTTAAAGTTGGCAACACTGTTTTTCCTCAATTTAAATGTTAGTGAATGGAGATGTTGCATGTGTGAGGAAGTTGCGATTTGACCATTGATTCTTAAGTAAAAGTTCGTGAGAAACTTGATGGTGCCACTGGTTTTCTCTGAAATCATCTTCCAAGCTCAAAAAAAGCTCTCAAGTTGAGGCCAAAATGGAAGGGATATCCCACCCTACCCTGAGAGTCCACCTCTACATCAAAACAAACTCTCCATGCAAAGATAGGGATCAAATACATTGACAGGGTTGCCACTTTATTTGGGAACTCCAAAACTGAAAACACGGCAACCCTGCTAATGTATTTGCTCCCTATCTTTGCATGGAGAGTTTGTTTTGATGTAGAGGTGAACTCTCAGGATAGCGTGGGATATCCCCTCCATTTTGGCTTCATTTTGAGAACTTTTTTGAGCTTGGAAGATGATTTCAGAGAAAACCAGTGGCACCATCGTGTTTCTTGTGAACTTTTACATAAGAATGAATGGTCAAATCGCAAATCCCTCACACATGCAACATCTCCATTAGTTGATTCTTAGTGAGGCTGCTTGTCCCACCTAAAATCGATATTTTTAATAGATTTGAAAGGAGGAAAAACAGTGTTGCCAACTTTCAATATTGCGACTGTAAGTGACAGCAGTGTTAGACCTGCTAGGATCCTGCTCTGACGTGGAACTGGATGGTGCCCTATCTTCCATTAAGGGGCAGTTACCTTTGAGGGTCGCTTACCCTTGATTTTTGGCTCCTTTTTGGGAGGAACAGATGTGTATGGTTGGCGAGAAATTTCAGTTTTTGAACATTTTTTGCATGCATGCTCTAAGGGGATGGTACAATGCTCTTTTTCTATTCACCCTATCGTGGAGCATTTGCTGCACCAACCAAGTCCGTTTTTACAAATTCTGTAAAGGTACATGGTGTCCACAGGCCCGGAAAACCTGGAAAGCAAGGAACTGGGAGGGAATTTGATCAGGTCAGGGTTTATGAAAAAGACTGGAAATTTGAAACATTTTGATATTTAAAAAAAAAAATTATCCCTGTGTGTACGAGCGAACTGAATCTCAGTCTACTTTTAGGTTCAGCGCTGCTTTGATTGTGAGTCACACTCTGAATAATAAATAGAGGAATAGTTTTCAATTTGGCATTGCAATTTTTGTCACCTTGCTTGATGAATATCTGAAGAAAAAAGGTTTCGATGTTTCTGTCCTTTACAGTGAAATCAAAGCCAAAAATTGTTCGTTTTCAGCTTTTTGCTTACTTACTTTTGATGTGAATAGTAGGAAATTTGATCATTTTTGTCAAAGAAAATCTGGTATTACCAGGGAATTCTTTTAATCCAAGTTTGTAAACACCCTGAGGTAAATGCGTTACATTTGAAACTTGGTTAGTAATTAAGTGCTTTTTTTGCAGCAGAATTTTGCAGGAAGCCTAAGAAAAGATGCTCCAAGAACCGTGCCAGAGAAATCAGATCTTGTTTTAGCAGCATTTGGTCTTTTTCTCCGATCACCTTTTGAGTGGTCCAGAGTTTTGCAACGTAGTAAAGACCACGCTGAGTTAATCCTCAAACTTTTTACAGCTGCCATGGAAGTAGGAAAAGGAGGTATGTTAAATCGTTTCTGTTCAAGTCTTATTTTCTTAATTTACCTGATGCTGATATGCTTCCCGTCAGTCTCAGCGGAATGTTCTCAGGAGCTGATGAGAGAGAGAGGAGGATAAGTCTCACCCCATCAATGTGGGAAAACTTGCTCTTCACACAAGTGCCAAGATATCTTGCGTCAGACTTGTTTCAGAGCACTTTAAAGTAAAAGAACGATATTTCGCGAATTTACACAAAGTAGTGAAAGTTTGCCAGCTCTAAAAACGTTTGTTTCCATTTGATGCATTCGAACGCAGCATCACTGAAAATGCAAATAATTATCATCCAAAATTTTGATCCAATGCATTTGAAAGTATTGGAAAGCACTCAGCATCAAAAACTGAATTTTGACACTTTTGACACCAAACTGGTTTTTCGATTATACTAAGCATTATTGAATCTCTACCTGAAGTCCCATTATACCCATCTTTTTCATGAACGTTTGTAGAGCTAATTTTAGAAGGTCATAAAGTAGTAGCAAAAATTTTATACTCCTTTCAGTTTTTACTTCTGAAATCTTGTGACTTTTAGTCATGTCAAATGTATCTCTTTTGATAGCCGATTCTTTTATTGTTCTAGATGACACCCAGAGCTCACCATTGGCAAATAACCTGCCAACATTACCTTTTGAAGAGCTCAAAGACTTGCTTGCTTCTGCGCCTCTGACAACTGATCAGGGTGTCTATATTCGACAGACAGCTCTTGATCGAGGAGTAGTCCACTCTATTCTCGCTTGTTTAGCCGCTCTTACGCACAATTCAGAGTACATTCGTCTACCAGACGTTGATCTCCAGCCCTCAACCTCCTCAAAGCGACCAAAGAATAAAGTCTTGCCGAAAGCACGCACTGATCAGCATGTTTCATATTGGGCAAAAGGCACCGGTTATGGATCAGGCTCCACAGCTCAAAGTTGGAACGTAAAACAAGCGCTAACAAGACAAAAGTGCGAAGAAAGTCATATTACTGTCCTGATACAAATTCTTTCCCACTTCATAGACCCCAAAACTGCTGCACCTATGTCTGGTCAGAATGCAGATGTTGAAGAGGTAGCAAATTTTCCCGTTAACTTATCAGCTGGGAAAATAGCTCCAAAACTATCACCTCTTTTTCACGAACTTCTTGAAAAATCTTGCCTCATTCAAGTACTCTCATCTTACCTCAGGAATGACTCTGTCTTAGATATGACACGTCATATTCCAATCTATAGGGCCATTCTGTGTCTGTTAAGAGTTATTGCTTCGAATGATCAGTACGTAGATTTCTTATTTCCACAGACACCAGATCAAGAATCCTCCATCTCGAGTCTTCTCTCTAAGATGAGAGATTGCGTTGATATTTACTCAGTGAATGTCGGAAGCAAAATACCAACCACAACTGAAGATGGAAAACACATTGATAGAGATGAAGAAGCCTCTCTAATTCAAGACATTCAGCACACTGCAATGCTCATTGCAATTCCATCAGAAAGCATGAATCAAAATGGGAAGTCATCATCAAGTATTGAGAGACCCTTAAAAAAGACTGTAGAAGAACGTTATCTAGAATTCATGAAAGCTTTACAGTTTGACGAATATGACATGATTGTGGAAAACTGTGATACCAGTGGACTTCGGTTCTCTGTCTCACATCGTTATGAACAGAATATACGTGTACTTGGGGATGCAAACCACCCTTCTCGTATAAAACGTCTTGCCCAAGAAGTTGTGACGTTAAGAAATTCTTTGCCCCTTAATTATAGCAGCTCTGTATTTGTGCGGTGCGATTCAAGTAGATTAGATGTCATGAAAGTGTTAATTACTGGTCCAGCAGAAACCCCCTACATGAATGGGTGCTTTGAATTCGATGTTTTTTTTCCTAGGGATTATCCATCCTCTCCATTGAACATTAATTTAGAGACAACAGGTCGACAAACTGTACGATTTAATCCTAATTTATATAATGATGGAAAGGTATGCCTTAGTGTTCTCAACACATGGAATGGTAGACCTGAAGAAAAGTGGAATCCACAAACGTCCAACATCCTCCAAGTGTTAGTATCAATCCAGTCTCTCATTCTAGTGCCTGACCCATATTTTAACGAGCCAGGCTACGAAAACTCCCGAGGAACCTCCAACGGAACTCGAAGGTCAAACAGTTATAATGCGAACATTCGTAAAGCTACGTTGAAGTGGGCCATGGTAGAGCAACTGAAAAAACCTTCACCGTGTTTTAAAACTGTTATTCAATCCCATTTTTACCTGAAGAGAGATGAAATTAGTTTACAAGTTGAAAAGTGGATTACTGAGATAGAAAGTGATAAATATATAAAAACCTCAACAGACACAGTCAGGTCTTTGAGGCAATTGCTGACACAGCTGCAAACAGAAATATCTAAGCTCACTCCACCCCCTGGGCTGGAAGAATCAAGTGAGGTTTTAAGTGAGAGTGTGGAAACTCCTGAATCAACTATCCAACCTCACCCATCTACCTCTGCAATAGCAGGGCCTTCATCTCAAGTAGAACCAATGGAATGGAGTCACTCTTTCATGTCTGATTTTGTCACGGATGAAGAGTTGGATTCTGTCATCTCGCGACTCTCCCATTGAAATTCCTGTTTTGTTGCCCTTTCTAACCTCATCTAGTGTCAATCTGCAATACCTCTTCCAAGTTGTTCTCTTGTTTTGTATTAATTTAATATGTTTAATTTAGTTTTATTAATCATGTTTTCATTTTGCATATTCTATGTTTTCTTATGTCTCATGTTATTTTCCTTGTTATGTCAGTTACTTTTTGTGCGCACTTGTTTTTATGATCATGGCATAATCAAAGATGTTTCTCTGAACATCTCTCATTGTTGCCTAAGAAAAATTCTGGTATTGCAGCTCTCATGTAGCATCTACCTTCTTTCATTTTGTGTTCTCTGAACTGCAATATGGCAAGAAAAACCTCAGGTACATCATTCATCATCTGTTTTGTAATTTAAATCTTTATGTACTTTGAACTGATATTCTTTTTATCATACATGTTTTTTGTGTAAATGTTTCAAATATATACATATGTTAGGTTCTTAGTTTTCTGTCACTCCAACAACTTTTGAAGGTCATGCAGTTCTATTAAAAAATAAAATCAAGTCGAGGATTCTCAATTTTAAATAATTCATATCCTCTATCTCAAATATCTCAACTATTAATTGAACTTTCCACTGATTTGCATGCAGTACTCACTCCTAATTTTTATTCAATCTAAATCTTTTGCTTAGTCATTATTATCGCGTTTTTACTTTCTTTCATTTCCAAGTGATGTAAGTTACCTAGTTTTGTACTTGCTTTTATCAATACTTAAGGAATTCCTTATTTTTTCTGGAAGATCCTATTTTTTATCATGGTAGTAACCCGTCGTTTATTTTCTGTCAGCAACTTTCTATTCATACTGTTGTCAAAAACTTTCGAAAGTGCCCAAGGATAGCTTTGCATGCAGCAGAGGAGAGATCCTGTCTTCAATTTAACAGATATTGTGACTTGATTTCAGTCTTGTCTCATCAGAATTTTCCTCTGATGACTCGGTAATCTTAATTTTAATGACCAGCTTGTAAGTTTTTTGTTTTCAAGTGTTCGAGTTGACTTTTATTTTCCTTTCTTAATGAAGGAACCGTTCGTTTAATCAGTCATGCAAGAGACTCATTTAATTTGTTTTTCTGTATCTTGATCTTCAAATAAAGTGCCTTTTTTAGTTGGTGCCTAGTAAACCTAAATAATATTTCCTCAATACTAAAAAATGTCAACAAGTTTCAAATCGATGACTATGGTTGAAAATTACGAACCTCCATTTAAATGCCAAAAAATCTTTGATAATGTTTCATTCGTTTAAAAAGCAAAGTAACGAAAATATCACCTTGAAGTTTCCCGTGAATATATTACAACAAGGGAACAAATTTCAAAGAAAAGTTTAAAAAAAGTGTCAAGTTTTCTTTTCGACCAGTAAAGCATGAGGGGAGACTTTAAACCGGAGGTATCATTTTTCGACTTGTGTCATTAAAATGGTGCGCATTAGTTTAGATATTTACGAAGATGAGGGCTCAAATATGTATAGAGGTTTGGAAGTGAACCCTCAGAGTTGGTGTTTTTTCAAATCGTTAAGAGAATACTTTGCCAAATTTTTATAGTAACCATCTTTTCACCTGGTTTACCAAATAAATCTTGTATTTTGGTATTTTCTTCATCGGCCTAAACTCAAGTTCTGCTGGGTGTCCAGAGATTTCATATAGTAGATATTCACCTCTGAATATTGGCCAAAATTAGATCACGCAACCTCTGCATGAAATGAATATGAATAAAAAGATAGATGGAAAGGCAAGCAAAATTTATACTTGGAAGATATAAACATTAGCAAGCCACTGCGAGTATAATGTGTCCAGTAAACGGAAAAATATGCGACACATGGGTCAGAATTGTTTCTTTAAAGTGTGCAGAGAGGTGAGTTATCAAGAAGTAAAACACTAATTTCAATGATTTTGCCTAGACTGACTGGTGTCCGGATTGAACTTGGGCAACGCCTGATCTGATCATTACTTCAGTTTTAGGACTATAATATCTCCGAATCAAAACTAACAATCTTTAAGCACCCAGCAGGATTTTTATTTTAGATGGTTTTGTTTCATCAAATTAAAAATTAATTTTGACCAAAAGAGTATCCGTCTTGAGAGTTTTTCCTTTCCTTTACTGTCTTGCCTGAAATATGGTTTAAGATAATTAATGTTCATGGAGTCGTATAATAGATCAGCAAAAAATTTACTGCTATGCCTCAAAAGATGTTTAGCTATTTTTTGTCAAATTGTACGTTAAGTTACAGCTGTTCAAATTGCGAAGAGAATGTACCCAACCAATTTTTTAAATACAGGTGTAAAACCAGTAATAAACCTTGTTTTATTACTCAATGAGTTCCTGTTGAAAAAGTGGGTGTTCACGACAAATTGACAACCCTACAAATCCAGACAGAAGTTACTGTTCAGAGGAATTCTTAGACTTCTGAATAAGAGGACAATTTGGCATCATGGATCTAAAGCAATCTATTGGTATTTTAACAAGAGCTCTAAAAGAGGTGAACTCTGCAATACCTACTTCGCGACCTTAAGCTCATATGAAAAAATGAATTTGTAGCACAATGAAGGTTGGAAATTCAACACCTGGTAAGCGCCATTTGGCGTTGCCAAGGTTGTGCATGGTGTTTTTTCTTACAAATGGATTACATTTTGCAATAAGGAACTACTATCTCTTGCTCTTCTGTAAAATCACCTTTCGAGGGAAACCAATGGCATATATGCTGTTTCTAAAATAAGCCAGAAATAGTGGTTCCTTATATTGCAAATTGTGGTCCAAATGAACTTAGGTGCTTTGACTTTCTGAAGTTTTCATTCGGAAATGTTTGCTGAATTTTAGTCTTATTTTCAATGCAAGAATTGTTAATCAGCAGCCTGATTGTTGATGTTTATGTTGGCACAGCAAGAATAAAAAATCAATGTATAACAGATTACACGGCACAAACAAAGTTTACGTCAGCACAGCAAGAATCGAAAATCGATAGATTACAGATTACATACACGGCACAGATAGGGCTATATCTTGTCTTGTCTTGTCTTGCCGACATAGCCAGTTAACGTTTCAACGATCAGGCTACAGGCCACCAAATGCTTGTTAAATCAGAGTAACTGTTACAAAACCTTATCAACACCTGACGGCACTAGCCAGATTGTGAATTTCCTCTATTTTAATATTCGAAATATTAGAGGCAGTTTCTCTCTTAAAAATTGAGATAAGTATGAAAACAAGTTTTGAATTCTCTCTCAAAATTTTTTTATTATTATTTAATTTACTTTTTTCCTCCTGTACTTCTATTGATGTCGCAGATTTTTTCATATTTTTAAAAACATTAATTTTTTAATTATGTATTTTATATATTCAATTCGTAGGTGACAATGAAGATTGTTGAGTGCAAAGTTGTGATACCTTTGTTAGTCACAATAACTGGACCCAAACTCTCTGATGTTTTGGATATTGAGGCAGATGTAAAAAAAACTATGCCTTTATATGGATTTAAACTGCAAACCTGAGAGTTTGCAGTTAACCAGCACTGATACAACAAGACACAAATGATCGCTGCACCAGTTCTTGGTAAAGCAATGCGAAGCTTCAGGTATTGCTTTTGTGAGCCAATGAGGAAAAAACTGACGTGAGACATTATTTAAAAATCAGCATTTGGCATTGGACTATAATTGATTAAAAAAAAATTGAACAAAAGGAAATCAATATATAATTTTGAGAAAATAAAACAATGAAATAATCACAGTACAATTTTTCATATAAATTAAGCTAACTAAATTTTCAATAATAACTTAATCGTATCAACAAACAAAACAAGTTGAACATCAGATGATTCTATCAGTATCGAAGAAAAACGGACCATGAAACCGATGAAGGTATCAGTAATGTAATCACAAAAATATGTATTCCCACTGTACTAATTTGATAACTCCTCTGGCCTTTACTTCTGAATGATAATTGATAAGATAAATCAAAAATCTCAAAATGTTCACAGAATGATCTTCATGAGTCAAAGGATAACCAAAGAAAGCTGTGAGACAATGAATTACTGAGTTTTTTACAGGAAAATTGGCAACCATTCGAAAGAAGGTAAGTGTTCTCGTAATAGCACCATGATTATATGCGACTTGGGGGAGAGAAATTTATCTCAGGGGATAACGGGTCATAAATAATGAGTGAATGTGTGTCAAAATGTGCTTGAAGTCTTTAAAACAACACCACTTCTTTGAGGAAGTTTGTTGACTGGGGTGAGGATTAGCTGTGTACCGGTCAGGTTTCTACAATCGATCGTGGGGATTGCATTGCATTGACAGGGTAGCTCCCGGTACTTACAATACTGGTCAATTTATGTGATTGGCCTTTTAACCAAGGGCACATTTCATTTTGGAAAATGAGACATTCTTTCTAACTTGTCAGAGAGCATGTTATGAACCTAGTTAAAGCAAATACAAGTGTTGTTTCTGGAGGAAGGTGACTTAGAAAGCACAGTGAGTGAATTGTCTGAGACTACTTAACTCAAAATTTGCGTGAGAAAATTTGTATAGACTTTTGAGCTAAACTACAACAAAGACGTAATTTGATAACAGATGGGTCAACCCGATTTCATGATCCTGCAAAAAACTTAAAATGGATGCTGTAATGGAGCGCAGATTGTTCAGTAAAAGTAAAGAAAAAAAGTATCTTCTTGCTGAGCTGAAATTAGGAAACAGGAAAGGAAATACATTGGATGAGAGGCGTTCGCTGCCTATGTTATTAATTTTTAATTGGACACTACGTCACACAACAGCTGTCACTGTGAGTTACTTTTGTATATTTTCGGTTTTTTTTTAGTGAGCCTGGGTGACCATAATGGGTTGTGAAACTGGGATGACTTATTAGTATCAAATTATTTCTATGCTGTAGCATACATTTTGAGGCAGGAGGCTAAAATATGCGCTAGTTTCTTATTCCAATCATTGTGAGGAACAAATTTCAGACTAGGTCAGTACGCTTTTCTAAATTTTCGAGTCATTTTCCATGAGGTATGACTTTTATTTGTGCTAAAGCTTAAGTTCACAACAAACTCGTTCCGACAAAGAGGTGAGAGCTGATGACCCTCAACTCAAAAAATGTTTTTCACTTCAATTTTTGGGCCTGTTTAAAAGAGTTTGTCTGTGACTCAACAGTTTGCAATTATTGAAAAACCCATTATTGTATTCATTATTGTTCTCTAATATTGTGCTCCAAAAGAACTGATATTGAAACCCCAAGTTAATGATAAATAGAATTTTGATCCATCGTTGCAAAAAAGAGAAAACTTTACCCAGTATTCTTACAAGTTTCAAAGACACGACAGTGTTTAGGTCTTAATAATTGATCTTAATCAATACATATTTGAAAACATAAAAAATATGAAATTCAAGTACAGCCTTTGCGGGTGAAACGGTCATCAAAAAAGAGAAAGTTCTGGCATTAATTTTTGCTTTGATTTGATGTTTTTCTGTTTGTGGATTTTTGTTAGATGTTGTTTTAAGGTTTTTGCTCATTTTATAAGTCATACACATAGGTTATTATTTCAAAACATTTGACATATGCAACTAAGATGAAATAGTGCAAAAAATGAAATAATTTACTCTCAACTTGCATACAGAAAGAAATTTTCGGAACAGGAATTTACATAAGCTTACATGAAGGCAGCAAGTGTTAAAAATGACACTCAATTCACTGAAAAACTCAAGTTGCCATTCATTTTGTTGGTTGCAATAATAATTATCGGACTGCACGGAGTTTTTGGCATCCTTTCTTGTCAAGCATAGCAAAATTTCAGTGCATCTTATGATTAACTACTTAAATAGAGCAATGCATCATCATTATAAAAAGAAACATTCTGCTAGGAATCCTAGGAATCACAATAGGAATTAACACAAAGGCTGCTTACATTTTTGGATTTTTGGGCGAGGAATAGCAGTTTAATTGATAATTGTTAGAATCTCGAATATCATTCTTAATATTTATCAAAATGAATGAATCAAGCAGTCCTTACAAGCTAAAATAAGACATTTCCTGAGAAAACAACCTAATACACACTTAAAATTCTGCAGAAATAAAATAAAACACCGACCCCATTTTCCTATAGCCTTCAGTACTCTTAATCAAATCAAATCAAAACCAGAAACCAAAAACTGAATTTTTCTAGAACATTGCACAATTGGAATGGAAGAGTTTAATAAGGTATGTACCTCAGGCTTAAAAGAAGGAATCATGCAACTTGTTGTAAAAGAGAAAATAAAACTCATCTACATGGAAAATGAAAATTGTCTTCGCAATTTCAGTCAGTTTTAATGTTAATAGAGTTCCACTTGAACAACAGCATTTTGTTATATAGGTGAAAAAAGAACCATGGCGTTGTGGTTAAAACTTTTTAATTACTACGATATCTTTCGGTTTATGCCATCATCAGGGCTATAATGACTTTTTGAAACATAAACAAAATCACATTTTGCAGTTTTTAACAATACTTTACATAACGAATATATTTGTGATACTGTCAAAATTAACCTGTCCAGCGCACTGATTTGCAATCAGCTGATTCAGTTGTTTACAAGTTCATAGGTGCAACGATCTTATCATATATGACGTTTGATTCATTTTGGCAATATCAAAAATATATCCATGATGTAAAGTATTGCTAAAAACTGCAAAATATGATTATGTTTATGTTTCAAAAAGTTATAAAAACCTTCTTTTTTCACCTACATTAATTTTAATGTTTCTTAAAAAAAATGTAATTCACATCTTGGCCTGAATGGATGTCAGAGATTAGGAATTCTCTTTAAGCAGAGAACCAGAAACTCCTTTTTAGTAAAAATGAATAAGATCCATTTTGAAAATTTTGCCCTTGTTTGATTATTCAGGAGGAGCCTTAGGTTCTTAAGTCAATATTAAACAAGTCCTTAATATGGAACTTCTTGTCATCATGTGGATAAATTGCTACTAAGTTTTCTTTGTTGTTTTTTTTTTTAACACAGTTTTTGCAAATAACACGTTCAAAAAACCCTTTACCATAACTCAGATTAGAAGATAATTACTTATGCAAATACATAGGTGGGGGTTGATCATATTGACAACAGCACAGCTGTTGGTTTGGGCCAACAATTCATACAATTCATAACAATTCATACTAATGTGAGTCTTACTACCTTGATATTCTCTTAGAAACAACATAATGACAACCACATGCCTCAAATGTTGATCAAAAGGGGGGAAAAATTAGTTATTTGCTGGCAAAATGAATGAAGATTAGGCATCTTCAATACAGCAGAAAAGATGTAATCTCAAAATCAAATACATAATATATTAAGTTTGCACGTATCATCAAATAAAAAGTACGATTAAGCTGTAGTTTTTAGTGCCTTAGTTTATGAAGAGTTTTTGTTAGTTTGGGATTCTATTTAAACTATGGTGTCGTTCAGGAGAAGTTTTATCCAACCTAATTGGGAAGAGTGCCGCGACCTCCAGTATGGCTGCAGGTCGCATCTCTGTCATGTCAGTCTGTTTGGTCATGTCATTTCTTGTAATGAAACATATCGATCGCTAAGGAAAAATCCTACCTACATACTGACGATTTTACAATATGAAGAAAAAACTTCAGCATTTTTGTAATTTTGAGGTTGAATTTGCAACTTCGTTTAATATATTACAGCATCATTACAACGTTCCCATGCAGGATTAGAAAGACCTAGAAACATCATGCATATACATAATATTGATAACTACAGTAGAAAAATACGTATCTTTGACTGCAATGTTGCAAAAAGTCTGTCATTATCTTCTTATCTTTTTATTTTCTTTTAAAAGAGAAGAAAACGCAACTATTTCCAAAATTTTTGAGAAATTCTCTTCACTTACTGAAAAATATTCATAAAAAATCTCAAGGAGATACTTTGGTTGGTTATTTATTTTAAAGAATAACACATAATCAGAGATTTTGAAAAATTGCAATGGAGATACGTACTTTTTACTTTAGCCATCGAAATACCATGATGACAAAGAAACTTTTTGATAACTCTTTTCAAGACCTAAAGAGGGCTATCATTAAAAATCAAGTGACTCAAACGATCATCCTCAAGCCACAATTAACCCTCTTATAAAGGCAGCCTACAATGCACTATGCAGGTAATGAAGCTGAGATCGGGTAAAATTTGTTTATAAAATTAGAAACCACGCAGGGGAAGAGACTCAATTTGACTATTTTGCACGGGATGTTAGCATATTACTGTATTGCCTTATATTAGCAAACCAGCTACTGAACGTCAGTTCAGAAAAAGTATTCTACTACATATTGTGAATGTATCCATAATTTGAACTGTTACCTTGGAACGGGAGTACTTATCTGAACCAAGCTAAACCTTCATACTACAGAATTTGACCCTCAATTAACAGGCTTGAAATTTTCTTTATAAGGATAAAATTATATCATATACTAAGGTCATCATGGTTCGTAAGAGGCCAGAGAGTTTCATGCTAGATATCAATATCAAAATAGGTCGGAACGTACGTATACATACACTTTTCCTACACAGTAGCCTCTGTACATAGAAAGCGCAAGTAAATACAACGGATTAACCATGAGACACAGATTAAACTTAAACATGAAAATTAATAATAAAGAGAACAAAATAAAAACAATGAGTTTATGGTTTGAACAAAAAGAAGTACTTAGTTACAAAACATTTCGTTTTTTTTTTTTTAGTTACTTTGGCTTGATCACAGAGGCTTCAGTCGCCCAAAATTTACATTTGTACAACCGTATTTACAATCTCAATCTACTTCAAAATCGCAAAATTTGCAGGCGTTGAGCATAGGTACCTTAGATAAAGCTTGTAGCAGTTGAGAAAATAATTTTAAAGCTTCCATGGATTTAAACTTAACTTGATCAGACTTTGCAAGCACTAAATTCACCTTTGATCTTAGCTGTGTAGGAAAAAACAGTTCAAGCAACATTGGCAAACGCTGTATGAAGCAAAAAACTATATTTATTTAGATAATATTCGGATTCTTTGAACCATATTGACAGAAAATGTTTTTTTAAGGAAGTAAGAGGACCTGACAACATTTCACACAAGGCTCTATTTGGCATAGACCCTTCACACAGCTTTGCCATGACAAGAAAAAAAATCTGAAGAAAAGAGATTCTTAAAGAAAACAAAGATCAATGTCAAATACTCTAGGTTACACCAACACTAGTCAAACAGGCAACTGGTGACGCACCTTTTTTGCTTCCTAACTATAAGTCCTTCTCCTTAAATCTTACTAATAAAAAGCAAGGTTAAAGGGCATACAGGACAATGAAGCACAAAGAAGATCACAAAATATTGTTGTGTTGCTTGCTAATATTCAATTTGAATTTTTGCTCTTATCTTCCTGCTGATGATGACTGCTAGCGTGTCCCACCAATAACTCAGAAATTGTCATCACTTGAGTGTACACTCTGAGGATCGTTCCATAACGCCAGAGGAAATTTTTAACTTTGAGGTGCAGGCTCAGAGAATTCTGAACATATATTCTGCATCATTGTGGCAACCAAGAACCATTTTGATTTTGATTGATCAATGTAATCATGATGTGGATTGTCAATGGTAAAACTTGGTAAAGATACCTCCATTTTTTTTCCAGTGCTACCCATTCTTTAGTTTCAGACGTTAGGGTGTAATTTTCCCTCACACAGTCATGGATACTTGATTTTTTTTCTTTCTTTTCTCAGCCTGTGTAAGAGACCTTATAGGCACCTGAATCACAAAACAGGGATAACTAGTGGTGACCATCTTAGTTACGATTCAGACCAATTCAAAATCCTAAATCTTTCGTTCTTAGAGTAGAATGATGCTTCATTCGACGACTTATATGAGTAACTTTGCTTGATAGATCAACAGCTAACTTAAGATTTTTCAAATTGCGAAATTTTCTAATCTTAGAGCTGAATTTAAACAGTCCCTCACTCTTCAGATCTTAGTCATCTACAGAGTTCATTTCATATTTTGTTACCATTCCACTCCTTGACAATTTCACCACATTTCAAATGTGCCTTCCATCACTGAAAAGAGGATTTAAAGAATTAAAACAATGCAAATACTTAATTCTAGCAACCACAGACACTCCCTCCCAAGCGTCTGTCTTTCTCCGCCTTCTAACATCAATTGAGACCAGCAGAAAACGTAAGTCTGCAGTGCTAAATCTGGGCCACTGAATTTCGCTTCCTCCAGAGGCTTAGAATTTTCTTTGTTCCTTCATTTTGCAGGGGTCATCTGCATTGATGATGAGCGTTCGATCAGGTTAAGTCATCCTCCGGCAAGTCGTCGCCGTCAAGCTTGCTACCACTGGTGCAGACGCGACATTTGCAGCAGATGATGCAAGGTGCTGCTAGGAGAAGTAGAGGCGATGCAATCAGAAGTAGGATTCCAAACCCAGCAAAAATCCCTATCACCTGGGTTCGATGCCAGATCACAGAGGCACGAGAATGGCCGAGTTTATTCTTGCAAGGGCCCTTGTCATAGTGCCGAAGTAGAAAGTCATCCTGCGGGCAAGAAAAAAAAGATTAACGGAAATTCAACGATTACAAGAGGGAACTTCATGCTTCGGGACATAATGGGCCAGTTGCGCTGGTCACAGAATCGTGTTGTGATGTTTGAGTCTTGTAGGTTAGCTAAAAATAATAAGATTTGTCCAAACAGCAACTTTTTACGTTTAATATTAACCTAGATATCGCCCTTTGAAAAGACGGGTTTTTGACATCATCCACCGCGGTAGTGACACCTGTGTTTTTTCCACCTTGCTTTCATCAGTCAGTGACGCACTGGTTACTCAACATGAAACTTGGATGAAAGCAAGCTGGAAGAAACCAAGGGTGTCACTACCGCGATGGATGACGTCAAAAATCCAACTTTTCAAAGGGCGGTTTCTCTATTAATATTGAACGTAGAAAGTTGCGGTTTGAACGGATCTTATTAGTTTCAGCCAATCTAAAAGAATCAAGCATCATAACACGATTCTGTGACCAGCGAAACTAACCCATTACAGCAAAGGATAGGGTGTGGCAGGATAAGCATACCAAAATATGTCCCGCCTAACAAATTATTATTTGAACCACATAAAGTTATATCCTGAACTTCAGGTATTAGGGCTTTTTTTCTCTGATCCTGTCCGCCCACTAAAATCCCTTCTTTCACGATTAATTTACGGTTGTTTATAGTGTAAGCACTAATTTGAGGGGCTTGGAGGACAAGGTACATAAGTGCAGTTTTTGAAAAAAATTAAGACATTCATGAACTCAACTAAAACTAGTTTGAAAGTATATCATGGAAAAAATTCACGACTAAAATCTAACTTTAAAGCATCAAAAAGTGAGAATAAACTTCCTTTCTGCCATAAAGCTCCACGTAATTTTGAAACTTTAAAATGCATTTCTTGAAATAGCAAAAACTGCATTTAAGCACCTTGTCTTTCAAGTCCCTCATTTTAAATACTTTGCGGTTCTTTTTCATGGAATTTAGCAAAATTTGACAAAATTTTTACGAAAAAAAGTACATGCCTCAAAAGAAAAGAAGAAAACAATTATGGCCACTACACTTGTTTTAGCCTTGTAAAATATTCATAAAAATGTTTGAGCTCGCTATGGGCTTGCTTTAATGGGTCCTATCAGTCTAAATATACATAATCATATGCGTTTTTTGGGAAAAGTAGCACTTTAGAGCATAAGTTACATTCAATCGTTAAAACAAACCCAAAAAACGGAGGATCGATTGTAATTAGTAGAAGCTTGATGAGAAATGGTACTTAAAACAGCCATTTTGAACGATTTGGAAACAGAAAAAGGTTCATTCCTTGACGGCTCCGATTAACACATCTACTATTGATTCAAAGAATGGCTCAAATAAAAGAATCAAAAGACATTCTTTTATAATTTTGAAAAAAACAGAAGAAAAAAATTTATTTCAACTGAAAACAAATTATTTCAAGAAATGCGTGTTTAAAGTTTCAAAAAAAACTTGTCTTCAGATGAGAAATTGCTATAAAATTATATGTCTTTATCCTGTTGAGACATGAGACATTATTATACTATTATTCAAAGCTTAAGATAATTGTTTATATTTCCATTCGGGAAGGTAACAATACATGCAAATCTTTAAGAAAAGAAGTTGAAAAATTGGAGGCCGTTCTTAGCTTGCTAAATTTCTGCTTCATTGAACCCCTACCCCCTCGTAACATCCATGACGTAGTATCCTTCAACCTGTAAAAACAAAATGGTGTAACGCTCTTCTAGGCTCTCCTCCCCTCCAGATGGTTGCATGTTTTATGACCGGCCTCTTGGAGAGCTGCTTTTGCAAGAGAATAAATTTCAAGTTTGAATATTGGGGTCAGAAACTTAGCACCAGAAATTAATTTTTCTAAGAAGTGCACATTTGGACTAGATTCACTAGAAATGACCAACAACCTAATATTTTTAACGATTTGTCACTTTCCCTTCATTACTCATGGGATACATTTCATTTAATAAACTTCTTCAGCCCTAGTTAAAATGTCCCCTTGGGACAGAGGAAGTGAACATCATTCCTTAGTTGTCTATGAGGAGTACCAGTCGGAAATATTTAAACCCCTGTGGATTTGTTCTTCCTAGCTCCATTATACCTACCTACAGACTGATTGCTGAAATTGATAGACAAAGCTATGGACAAAGAAGACAAAAGAGAGATAAAGGGATCCTATTGGTGGTAGCGGGTGGTTGCAATGGACAAGAGAGGTAGGTAATGGACCAACTAACGATAACCCCTGAGAGACGGCATAGTTAGTCTATCAATTTCTCTCTTAGTCTATGGAAACCACCCATTTCAACCAATAGGATCGCTGCTCCATACTCCCTATGTATTCTTTGTTTATACTTTATCTATCAAATTCAACGATCAGCCCGCAGCAGCCGTTTGTTGAAATTCTTTTTTTGTCGACCGGACGAGTCAAGATTAAGAGGAATTGAGTAATGTGATTGGTCAGCTTCATCCGTTGTCCTCTTTGTCGTGCCGGTAAAAAGTGTAATCATTGAGAAGCTAAAGGCATCTCTTAAGTTGCCGATACTACGTCGTCAAATTCTGGTTGAATCCACCCTTTATCGGCACGACAAAAAGGACGAAGGATAACGCTGACCAATCACACCCGGTCGACAACTACCAAATTTCAAAATTGGGCTGCAGTGAGTTCTGTCAGTATCTTACTTATCGACGGCGCGGCGTAAGTCCGCAATCACATATCGACGGTGAAACTACCAAACCACGTATCTCGTTTGCGGTGTTTAAAAATCTACGCTCACATTTTATTTTTTTGAAGTAGACCAAATCAATATCATTCCTTGGAATTTTCACGGAATTTTCTCCGCACAAAGAGGAAAAATCACAGAAATTTTCAAGACTGGATGTTAAGTAGTTTTTCATTTAAAAAATAAAGTATGACAGGAAGTCTGCGACGTCGCAAACCGAGATACGTGGTTTGGTAGTTTCACCGTCGATACCTCGTTTGCGGTGTCTGAAATTCATAGAAAATCTAAAAATCTCCGTCTCTATGTTATTTTTTTAAAGGAGAGCAAATTGACATCAGTCCTTGAAGTTTTAGCAGAATTTTCTTCGCACGGAGAAGAAAAATCACGGCATTTATAAGTTGAGTAGTTTTCCGTTTAGAAAATAAAGTATGATAAGAAGTCTGCGACGTCGCAAACCGATTTATGTGATCGCCGACTCACACCGTCGATATATATGAAAAGATAAATGGATGCACTTACATCAAGCGATGCCAGACAGTACCAGCAGAAGACATGTTTGCAGCGTTTGCACATCATCTGAGCGCATCCCTCGTCTTTTTCGATGGGGACGGAGCACATGGGACAGCACTTGATGAGTTCAGAGTCGAAGGAGACGCCAGGGATCGAAGGCTGCAGGTCTTCCTGTCGACACGGAGTTCCGGGGTGCCAGCCTGCCCGGCAGTTGGAGCAGAAGTCTAAGGAACACGTTACGCAGTGCACGCATTGCGGCACTGTCCGTTCTACGGTTGAAGCCAGCGTGCACACAGTCTCACACCCGGGCCGGGGGCACCACACCCTCGACTTATCCAGCTCCACCTCTGTAAAAAGGAAACATTACCGCTTTTATTCAAGTCAGACCCTAACTTCTATCGTGGCTCGAGAATGGAGCTAGGCCGTAACGACGCACAGTGGACGGAGTCAATAGGAGGGATCGGACAAAATGTGGAAACTTCAAGAGCTTTTAACTCCGTTCATACAAAGTTTTGAGGCTCTTAAAGTGGTTCCATTGGTTTTCTCGTAAAATTTTCTGCAAGAAGCACCCCTTAAAGTTTAAAATGCGACAAAATAAACATTAAAATTTTCAATTTTAGTTAAAAATTTTATGTCCGACCTCTCCCATTGACTCGATCCACTACTGTGCGACGCTTCTGTCATGCGTTCTAGTAGGTGAACGACACACGTTCCTTTTGTGCTAATGTCTTTCCATTGATTGATCTTATGCAGAAATGCATAAGAACTTTTTCGACAGAGATACAATTTCACTTCAGAAGACTGACTTGTCCATAAATAAATTGGTCCGATAGGAAATGGAAGCTAAGTACCGAAAATCGTTATTCCACTGACAGTAAAATTCAAACGAACCGCTCGATACAGCTTTGGCCGATCGAAAGCCACTCTGATTGGTTACCAAGGCGACCACTCCGCTAGTTCGACGTCATAAAACTGAGTAGTTACGGCCTCCTCATTCTCGTAGGCAACGCTTCCACATGTGAAACAGAGGTAATGGAGATGTTGCATGTGTGAGGAATTTGCGATTTGACTGTTGATTCTTATGTAAAAGTTCGCGAGAAACACGATGGTGCCACTGGTTTTTCTCTGAAATCATGTCCCAAGCTCAAAAAAAGCTCTCAAGTTGAGGCCAAAATGGAGGGGATATCCCACGCTATCCTGAGAGTCCACCTCTACATGAAGACAAACTCTCCATGCAAAAATAGGGAGTAAATACATTAGCAGGGTTGCCGTGTTTTCGGTTTTGGAGTCCCCAAATAAAGTGGCAGCCCTGTCAATGTATTTGCTCCCTATCTTTGCATGGAGAGTTTGTCTTGATGTAGACGTGGACTCTCAGGATAGGGTGGGATATCCGCTCCATTTTGGCCTCAACTTGAGAGCTTTTTGTGAGCTTGGGAGTTGATTTCAGAGAAAACCAGTTGGCACCATCGTGTTTCTCGCGAACTTTAACATAAGAAGCGACAGTCAAATCCCAAATTCCTCACACATGCAACATCTCCATTGCTGAGGAATTTTTGACCGGGTGCTCTTGTTACAATTTTTCTTTTTCGAAGTTTCACATTTTCTAAGAAGTTCAAATTAACAAGATCTATCAAAAACATTAGTCTTTAAGTAAAATGAAAAAAAAAAAAAATAATTAATATCAGATGAAATCCAGTAAATGTCTCAATGGTCAAAACTTTGAGTGAGGGCACTTTCACTGCCGGGCATAGCTGCGTTCTAAGCGCGGTACCACTTTTTCCAACCTATGTTAGAAAAAAAATAAACCACAGGAGGAGAATGTTACCTTTATTAAGTTTAAAGCGCTTGTGCTTCTCGACTTCATCGAAATTGACTAAACTTTCGATCTCCTCCATCTGGATGATTCCTTGACTTTTACATTGAGCATCCGGGCATGAAATGTGATAGGCTCCTTGATTTATTTCGAATTCAACATACGCTCGAACACACTGCAACAGATAATAAAGAAGAGTGAAATGACAGAGAGTTCGTTAAAATTGACACTGGTCGAAATTGAGACATAATGGTGATCAGTTTAAATATTTGTATACAAAATTGCTGCTGCTCTTACAAAAAAAAATAGTCGAAGAGAAGGGCGCGCTTCAATTTATATTTCTCATATTTTTTCATCGACGCACAGTAGATCGAGTCAATGGAAGAGGTCGAACAAGATTTGGAAACTTTAAAAGCTCATAACGCCGCTCACACAGCAATTTGAGATTTTAAAAGTGGTTTCATTGGTTTTGTCGAAAAATTTTCTTCTAAAACACCCCTTAAAATTTAAGATGTGACAAATTAAACAACAAAATTTTCAGTTTTAGTCAAAATATTCATGTCCGACCTCTCTGATTGACTCGATCCACTGTGCGACGAAACATTCCAGGGATTCAGAGAGTTTTTAGCGTTCCCATTTGAAAGATCTCCACTTCAAAATTTTGTTATTAACAAGAGGATAGAGAGTTCTTTCCCGAGAGACTAAGTCTTGGAAGATTCGGAATGTTCCCAAGTTTTTCTTGTGGCTCCTCAGGGAATGTCTTAATTTTTGATGACAGCTTCAAAATCTACTTTAGTATGTACTGTGATGAATAATGGTTCTCTTCAGTAAATAAATTAGGAAACTGCGATTGGGGGATTCTCTAAAACAGCTCGAGAAATCGAGCAGACTCCCAAAAAATATCAAGAAAATTCAAGAAAAACTGTTGTTCAGTTCAGACCCGCTTCAAACCCGTTCAGAGCACACATACTGTAGAGAAAATTTCAAGTCTTTCAAAAAATGCCCTGACTTTCCCCTGATTTCCCTGACGTGATAAAAGTCCCTAACAACAGAGTTCTTGCATGTGTGAGGGATTTGTGATTTAAGAGCTTCATCTGATGTAAAACTTTGCGAGAAACACGTCGGTACCACTGATTTCCTCTGAAATCAACTCCTAAGCTCAAGAAAAGCTCTAGCAAAGTTTAGGCAGTAATGGTCAAACTCTCCATGCACAGATAGGGATCAAATACATTAGAAGGGTTGCCGTGATTCCTGTCTTGGACACCTCAAACAAAGTCAAAAAACCTGCTAGTGTATTTGCTCCCAGTCCGTGCATGGAGAGTTTGACCAGACATAAAGATGAACTCTCAACGCAGCGTGAAGTATCAGTATCCCTCCATTACGGCCTGAACTTAGAGAGCTGTTTCTGATGAGGTTAGGAGTTGATTTTGGAGATGGCATCGTGTTGTTTAACGCGAAATTTTACACAACGGCATTCGCATCGCAACTCCACAGGTGGAAGAACTCCATTCGCGCTATTCCAGGCCTGTAGACACCCTGCGGACCGAATTTTAAAATCGATGGACAAAGCTATTATATAGACAAAGAAGACAAAACGGATATGGAGGGACCCTTTTAGTGGAGGCGGGAGGTTGCAATAGACAAAGGATTTCGGTTTTAGACTAACTAACGCCCTGGAAAAAAAAGCCGCTTGGATCTAGAGTCCAGACTCTTAAAAACATTGACAAGAAAAAATACTCTTGATTCAATCCGAATTTTTTTTTAATTGAAAAGCCAAGCTTCTTGATTTGGGCGAATTTCCTTTTGATTCAAGCAAAAAGTCTGATTGTATTAAGAGTATTTTTTTTGTCAAGTTTTTAGGAGTCCGGGCTCTAGATCCAAGCGACTTTTTTTTCCAGTGCGGCAACCCACGGCCCACCTGAGACCCAGTGGTTAGCTCATCATTTTCTGCCTTAGTCTACATGTAAGAACCACCCATTTCAACCGATAGGATCGCTCCATACTCCCTATGTCTTCTTTGTCTATCGCTTTGTCCGTCAATTTCAATAATCAGCCCGCTGTTCCCTGTATTGTGGAGATAACGGTGCACTGATCCAACGGCGGCGGGCGATAGAGTTGATGTGCGCGAACGGTATAGGTTCAATCACCTTGTTCCATTTGGTCTGACGTAATTCCACGCGACCACGACGACTCTGAGCTACGTAACTACGGCGAGAATGCGATACTACCTGAGCTGAAGTTCAAGGGCTCACACCATTTAAAGTTTGCATAATCCCTTCAAACGTTAACAGACCAAAAGATTGCGCCGAGATAAGCGCCTACGACTGCAGGTGATTCGTCCCTGCTCTTGGACATGATCGATCTGATGTACAATAAATCGCATCGAATGAGTCAAAAATCTTGGCAGATTTTGAATAGGCAGCCCCCCCCCCCCNAAAAAAAAAACCGCGGATAGCCTCTGCGCATGTGTTTGACAAAAAAATGTAAAACAGATTCGTACTTTGTAGTCTCGGCTTGAAAAAAGATGAAAAGAAGAAAAAATGAGTGGAGAATAATTCTTCGCGATGAAGAAAAATGCAAAATTTGGAGATAAATGAACAGGATTCGCCTATGAAGTTCCGATACAGCGAACGATCTCTGTAGTGCTCCCATTCCATGTTCGTCAGAAGTTCCATAGTTCCATGATTCGGAACTTTTTTGTTCCAAAGTCTCCCACTTCATGACCGTCAAAAGTTCCGGGATTCCTTTTAGATTTTTTCAGAAGTTCCGAGAAAGTTCCGAAAAAAGCAAAAGATCCGGAACATTTCGGGAGTTCCAAAAGTTCTGGGAAAAATGCAAGAAAATCTCAAAGTTCCGGATTTCGGTGCTATATAGTTCCGGGAAATGGGATCACTGGATCTCTGTATCGTGTGCAGCACTTTCATCCCGCAGTCAAACCTTCCTACCTCTTCGAATTTTGCGAATTTTTTATTGGTCGCTGAAGGGCGGTACATAAAATATGTCCCCTGGGGGGAGAGGGGTCAAGGAGACATCCCCTTTCTCTTAGAGCGCTCTGCTTCTCTCCCAAAAGAAGCTGAACTTCGAGAAATTTCGGAATATATACTCTCAAGAAAATATTCCTCCAGAAAGATGTCAAATTTCGGATGCTGGGGAATAGGGAAGGGAGAGGTTGGCAATTGACAACCCTTGCGATTTTAAGACTAGAATCTGAGGTGAAATTGCAAAACTTTTATTCTTCTTTAAGCTAGACTGGGCTATTTCACATTTTAATACTTAATAATATCAAAAAGTAGACGGCGAGTCTTGGGTTTCATTGTTATTATTTCGGATTTGAGGCTTGGAGAAGTCACAGTTCCTCTTAGGTTATGATATGGATAATCAGAGTGCGTGTGTATGGTTTTTGAAAATATGGAGGCGGAGTTTGCAAATGTGTTGTATAAAATCGAATAGTCCGGAAGTTTTTCTAAAGGTAATGATGTGGATCATCGCTGAGCATGTTTTTTGAAAATATGAGCAGGGTGTCTAGTTTTTTACCATTTTGGGAAATCCTTATGAAATCCTGATTTATCCTGATTTTTGACTGCCAAATCCTGATTTCATAATCTTTCTAAATCCTGATTTTTTGCGGAGAATAAGAGGCGAATGTAACTTCACAAAAATAGCTCGATAAAAAAATCCAATCGGACGGCCGACTCTTCTAAAATCCTGAGTTTACGATCGATTTTTCCTCAAACCCTGATTGACCGCAAATCCTGATAGAGTCGGGAAAATCCTGATGCTAGACACCCTGATGGAGGCGGAATTTGCAAATGTATGGTATAAAATCGAATAGTCCTGCCTTTCTTCAAAACGACTCGCTCGCGTTTCTGCAAAATCAACAAAGAGAGGGGGCAAAAAAGGACGAGGAAAAAATGCCCAATGCTCCGTCTCGTGCTTTGACATTTGAATTGAAAAAAATTGAAAATTAAATTTTCCCTAATCCTATTTTTCGGAGTGGGAGAAAGCGGTAAAAGAGGGAGGAGACGGAGAACAAAACGCGGTGCGGGTTTTCGGTCGTGTTATGCAATGATCCTATTCAGGATTAAGATTACTCATACTCCAAAAATATCGTATACGTGCCATTAAAAGTATTCGACGGGTGATGTTTGAAATGAGCGCCCAAAAATTTTTCTCAATATCAGCGCTCTTCGAATTATGAATGCTTAATTGACTATATTTCTCAGACGAGGAAATCGCTTTGTTGTGTAGCACACCCAGCATGAAAGAATACATTTTTTCCTCTTGCCTTCGCAATTAAGGTAAAACCGAACTATAAAAAAAGAAGCCAACTTGATATGGGTGTCATTATATAAACTCCTGAAATTGGGGCACTTGAGCTGTTGTTTAGGGGGCGGCCTGATTTTAAACTGAATATGAGAATTTCCCCTACTCCAACCTCATATTCAGCTGGCTTCCAGTTGCAAAGAAAAAATCATACTCTATGATTGATATAAACTCACAAGAGTAACGTGTGACGCATAACGTTAGACATAACGTTACCGGACCGTCACAACTGATCGTGAGTGTATATGTTGCTTCTAAGAGTAACGTATAACGCATAACGTCTAAGGCTCGAGGCCTTCGGCGTTACACGTTGGACAGCGAGGCGGTCAGAAGTCGTATAGCCCCCTAGTATATAAGTATAAAGAAAACTTTAAGAATACACTGCAAGAAATCTGATGTAATTGGTTCAGCTCTGAAAGTAGTTTTCATTCAACTTGAAAAAAGTTTTGCACTGGGAAACAAGGTCGCTTAGATCTAGAGTCCAGACTCTTGATACCATTGACAAGCAAAAATACTCTTGATTCAATCCGATTTTTCCTTAAATCGAAAAGCCGAGCCTCTTGATTTGGGCGGATTTCTTTTTGATTCAAGCAAAAAATCCGATTGAATCTGCAAGAGTATTTTTTCTTGTCAATGTTTTTAAGAGTTTGGACTCTAGATCCAAGCGACTTTTTTCCAGCGTGTTGAATTGATACACAACTGTAATGTACCTGCGCAAAAGCACTCTCCCAACGCCGTTGTGTCAATTCAACACAGTATGTCTTCTTTAATTGGCACAACATGTTGTATTAAAGTGACCCCGCGAATTTTTCAGTGAATGAACTTCAGTGGACACTGCCAGAGGCGGATCTA